ACTTGAACCTGCTCCGCAATCCTACTGAAGCAGCTGTCACCACTGTCTCAAGGTCTCTCAGGTCTGGCTGGACGCAATCACCACTAGCCCTGGCTTCGCCAGTGGCCATTACCACCTGGGACAGCAATTGGGAGTTCTGTACATACTAAGTCACTCCTTCTGCTGACTTCTGTCTTTTAACTTCCAACCTGGGATTTGGCCTGATGATTGTAGTAATCCGAGTACAACCCACTACTTAGACCCCTAAAAAGTAACCAAAATCAAAAAATCTGAAGATTCTGAGAGGGCCATGCGCACTCATCAAAAGAGCCATAGGTGGCTCGCGAACCATAGGTTGCCGACCCCGGACCTAGGCTGTTAGTATGGTAAGTCACAAGATCAATTTATACTACTAAAGTCTGTCTGTCGGCAGGAAGTGGATATTTCGCGGTGGTTGACGGGTGTCAATCCAAATATACACTTATAGTTTTGGTCTACGCCTGTAGGCCTTAAATACACTGATTTATACCGCAAACAAAAATTAATTTCTCAGGAGATTAAAAACCTAACTTTCAAAATCGGTATATCAACCAGAAAGCAGACAGGGAAAGCTGGGGGCCCACTGATGAGCCGGGCCCCTCGCAGCTGTGTCAAGCAGTGGCAGAATACCGGTGAAACACGTGTCTGGGCCTATTAGCTAATACCTAGGCTGTTAGTATGGTAACTCACAAAATCAATTTGACTTGACTTAATGAATACCTGCGATTGCACACCGTTGGCTATAAAACATCTCTTCTCACCAGTGTAGGAGTCTAAGCCGTGGTTGTGCCTAGATCACTACAATCATCATGTCGAATTCTCCAGGTAGAAAGTAAAAGGCAAGAGTCACCAGAATGAGAGCCTTATTGTATACAGAACTCCCAGCTGCAGTCTCAGGTGGCTGGCCGGCTAGTAGCCCTTGTTGGACCCGGAGCCCACCGGGTGGGCCTCAATCCCGGTGGCGAGGAGGAGGAGCAGCCTGGTCGGGAGGGGCTGCTCCGTTATCAAAAACATAGGAGGGGAAATAGATTCACCTTAGGAAGGTTTGGTGTAGCAGACATTGGCCGACGTGAGGGCGGGTGGGAACGCGGTCGA